AGCTAGATCAGGCTACTCAAGGCTCTGTCCATGTTGGCCCTGAACACCTCCAAGGAGTTTCAGATAAGCAGCACCCATTAAGAGTGTAGATACTTAAGTCCTTGCATAGTTAGCCTCCCATATGCATTCTACCTCCAATTTGTCCGTTTATAGATTAATTTCCTCTGCTACTTACCCATGCATGAAAGGTATGCTGCTATGATTTGGACTTGGAGGACTTTTTTTTTTTTTTAAACTTGAGTAAAATGTGTGAGAAATGATACAAGATTCACTAAACCCAGTTGTGTGGTTTAGATTTGTATTTTCCCTTCACTGTTCAATGTGATAATTTTACAAATAAATAGTAATAATCTTATGATTTAAGGAGGTGTAGAAAAAATAAACTTACTGTTCTAAAGGTACTTTGCAAAGATGTTTCCTAAAATACTGTTGTGAATCCTGTACATCAGACACGTGAGACATTGTCTGCAAAGACAGTGTGCATAAGCTCTAGCTACATAATTATTTTACAAGACTAAAAATATATAAAGTAATGAGCACTGCAGGAGTTACAGTAACGCCTAAAATGTGACTAGGTTTCACTTGACCGTATAAGATGGAATCTGAACCACAGCTACAACTGTACACTCCATCAGGAGTAACAAAAAAAGGAGGAGTCATACAAATGGTTGATTGATGCACAAACTGGAACATTTATACTACTAGTATTCAGAAATTACCTAAACAGCCATTAAGAGGAGAGTCAAGGATACAGTACTACTGCAAAGCATTATTAGAATAGAAGGAAACAAACCAGCATAGTCCACTGATGTGTAGTTGTGTGCCTTTTAATAATTCTCGCCCATCTTTGTTCTTCTGAAACACAAACAAGCACTCAAAATTTGAAACCACAGTAGTAAAGTTTGTGGAGTCAGACAAAGGGCTGCTGACATTCTACCATAATTGCAGTTGAAAACAAGATCACCAGCTGATGATTCTAGAACCAGATATTTCAGAACCCTAATTTTCTTTGGAAAACATTGAAAAATATTCTGCAAAAGATTTTTATTTCCACAAACATAGGAGGCATCTGATCATCACTGTGATATTAAACCAAAATTTTTGGCATTATTTTTGATGTTTTTCTGCTGCTACAGCAACAGGCCATTAAACCTTACTGCTTTTCTGGAAGCTGTGTCCAGCCTCCTAGCCAATTCTTCCAATCTCAGCCAGGCTGAGATCATATGAATAACAAAGCATTTATGACTCTGCTTTCCTGAAACAAACAAAAGGCAAACGAACACCCCCCATGCCCCCCCACTAATGAGCTCTTTTCAGCCACTACAGAAGGAAATCAATAAAGTATATGTGTTACATGGATGGATGAAATGTTTGTGTTTCTAACGTAGGTAAAGGTGGTGTAAATATGTCTGCCAAAATTAATGAAGATGGATACTCTTCTTCACCGGTGCTGTTTGAAGACGACACGTCTCTGGTGGATGACCGTGCTGAACAAAGAGATCAGTCTGCAGAAAATTCGGTTGTCTTCGGAACTTCTGCAGAGGAAGTTGTGAAGGAAATTCGCTTTAGAATTGAGCAGAAAACTCAGCTGACTGCTAGTGCAGGTATTCAGACACATATGAGTAATAATGATGCTCTGTATTTTCACTATGTCTTCTATTCTATTCTCTGAAGGCATTAATTAAGATTTTGGCATTGCCACAGCATTCCTGTGCTGTAAAGAAATGTGCTTTCTATGCAAGTCTGCAAAGACTGTGACTTCCAGATGTTTCAAGAGATATTATGGCTATCGTAGCCACTCCTGGCTTTTGTTCTGTTGCTTTTTAATCATAGAATCAATTATATCATCTTTTTGCTTCTTTCTTCTTGAAATATAAGTAGCATGAAAGAGTGACCAGTGTGCTCAGGAGCTAATCTTTGCACTTCTGGTTGTTTTAGTGCTTAATGCCAATTGTTTTCATAAGCCAGTGGTCATGGTGAAATCTGTCATTGGTTGCTAAACTGCTGTGAGTTTGAATAGCAGATCTGCATGTTAGTATTTGTAACAGTTCTCTACACTGTTCCTTGCTTAAGGCAATACCAAAATTCATTACAAAATTAGTTCTAGGGAAAGTAAAGTGTGTTGAACTGAATAAACTGTTCACTAACTTTTTAATATTTATGGTTCAAATTTTATGTCTTTTGCCTACAGGCAACCTACCTGTAAGTCTCAACTGTTTTGATAATAATCTGGATTAGGTCACTAAAAAAAGTGTATGTCCCTACCCATTTAGTTTGGATGACATCCAAACTGCTTTGTGAACCAGGTCAGTGAGGCATCAGGGGATGCTGAGCTTTATGAAGCAGGTGCAGAATGGCAGCAAAGCGTTGAATGTACGCAAAAGTAAAGGAAGAGGTAGTAGGAAGAAGCAGGATAAGACCCACCCCCACCTCCATGTGTGTTATCTCATCAATATAGCATAATAATAATTTTGTTCTACTGCAGTTTTTTCTTCCTAAGTATAAGTTAGTGTTTAGAAAACCAGCATAGCGTCAGGGATGTTAAGCCCCCAAATTAAAAAGTTAGAAGACTAATCAAAAAAATAATGATAATTAATAATAAATAGAATTACTTCTGCCATCTTGAATATGTTATATCTATAAGCAAATCAAAATTCAGACCTCTAGGGCTGTAGTGCTAAGGCAATTCCAGAATTCATCTGTAAAAAGTTATTTTGATAGGAAAGAGCAAGCCCTCTTCATCCTTAGTAGTGTTCCTGAAATACATATTTTTCAAAGTGACTACTTAGCAGTGGTAACCCACAAAATACTCTAATTTGATAGGTTTTCTCAAAATTTATTTAGTCTTTTTACCAAAATACAAGGAAAAAAATAGTCCTTCTCATTAAGAGTTCATTATAACTACTGTTGTAAACATTTCTTTTTGTCTTAACAAAATCACCAACATAAATCATTCAGTCGTGTAACTGATGTTATTTTTAAACACTTGATACTCAGCCCCTTCGTACTGATGAGTGCATGTTGTGTAACCCTATCCTGAAACAGTAGGTGTGCTTTATCAGTTGCATCTATTGTACTTAATCTACCACACATATTTATGCTCTCACGTGTTAAAAAATGCTTTTGCAGAGTAGTGAAATATCTGCTTATCAGTTATTGTCATGCTTTTGCTTGTTTAGTCTTTTGCAAATGTGCATGCTACTGATGTGCTTTTAAATATTGGGACAGTTGAAATTAAAGTCTTCTATTTTTTTTTCAATAGAGGGGGTTTTGTTTCTTTTTCAGGAATAGCTCCGAATACAATGTTAGCAAAAATGTGCAGTGATCGTAACAAACCTAATGGGCAATGCAGAATTGCTCCTGAGAGACAAGCAGTGCTAGACTTTGTAAAAGATTTGCCCATTAGAAAGGTAAGAGATGCCGTGACATTTGCTATGCAGTTGTACATGACCCTTATGGTCTAAAAACAAGATTTCTGCTGAAGAAGTATTCTTTTTTAGGTAGTCTGCTGAGCTGTGTTTGATTTAAATTGTTCTTGATGTTGGATCCACAAATGGTGGGTTTCCAGCATATTGATACTTACTCTTTTCCAGGTGCCGGGTATAGGAAAAGTAACGGAGAAGATGTTAAAAGCTCTTGGAATTGTGACTTGCTCAGAGCTTTACCAGCAGAGGGCACTGCTTTCTCTTCTTTTTTCAGAAGCATCTTGGCGTCATTTCTTGGATATTTCCCTTGGTTTGGGCTCAACACATTTGGAAAAGTATGTTTTGGGCTTTCTTCTCCTACAATTACATTTTTCTAAGTATTGTGTATGTTAGCTACTGTACATTTTAAGACATATTTTATTGACATATATTATGAAAATTTGGCTTAAATACATTCAAAATACATTTTGAAAGATTTTTGATACCTTGTTATACTTGTGGCTAAGATACACACAACAGCCAGACGTTAAAGAGCAAAACTTTGTTCAGCCGTGTCTAATATGTGCAATCCAAAAGGTGTAGTAGAGAAGTTGTGTGTAAGTGTTATCAGGAAATTAAGCCTGTGACACTTAGGATAACCTCATAATTACTAAAATAGCTAAAGAGAAATGAGTTATCCTAAGCAGAAGTGTCCCATCCTGTTTCTGCCTGTTTTATTATTATTATCTGATTGTAATGAAAATAACATTGGTATCTAATCTTTTCTGTTGGTAAATTGTTTTATTTATAATGAAAGCAAGTGAAGTTTCCGATCATCTTTCATGTTTGTGTACATATTTGTAATACTAGCTTGTGAATTTGGTGGAACAGAACTGAAGATTTTTATATCCTTTTTCATATCTGTTCCTTCAGTTTCATACTACTTTAATGGCTTTTCAGCTTCCTGTTTGGGACAGGAGAAATCAGTCTTACTACTGAATCCATGTTTTCAATAATATGCATCATTTCCAAGTGTGTCCTGGATACAAATATGGAACACTTTCTTAATAAAAAGCCATAGCATTTTGCTGTTTGTGTAACCAAGAGTCTTAATTTAGGATTGAGTCCTGTCTTTTAAATATTTCTTCCTTAAATACACTTCTTCCCAAAGTGCTGTAATTCTATTTTTAGATGACTTGACAATTATGTGGTTTTATTAGGCATTCCAAAGTGTCTTATGTACTTCTGAAAGACATATTCTCTATTATTTCTGTTACTTCTCTGACAGTAAGAAATCTTAAATTTTTCGTTTTTTCCATTTGACTACAAACCCATATATACAGTTAGCAGTTTGTAGATCAGTAATGTGCCAGCACAAATATTTGGTTATTTTTTCCTTTTTCCTTTCAGAAGTAGGTTGACTTGAAACAAACTATGCAGTATACCAGATTTGTTATTTCCAATATTTGGAAACAGAAGGACCTGAAAAGAAAAATGCTCTGAGGAATTCCTTATATGCAGAAGAGTTGTTAAACAATGCCTAATTAAAACTGGAAAGAAAAAAAAGCCTTAAAACATCACCTTTAGCGTGTGCAGTATTTTAGACAGAAAGTGAACTAATTCCTCAGATAATATTCAACTATACATAGTATGTTCTGGATTTTAATAGCAGTACTTCATAGTTACAGCTAGGTGAGACAGCCCAGGATTTGTAGTTAGTCTTCTTTGTAGATAAGACACCTTCTGATAGGAGAGAGGAGTTTTGTTGGATTGTTGTGGGGTTGTTTACAAACTTTATTTTTAGACAACTGTGGCTGTTCTATGTCTTTACTTGATCTAAAGCAGTTTAAGTTTTTTGAAAAACATTCTCTGCTTCACAGTTGCTTAAACTTGACATACAAGATTTGTAGAAAAAGTTAAAATCCAGATTTTATACAAGATACTGCTGTTAGGTGTTGAAGGATGATTTGTTGACTCAAAGTTTACTGAAAAGATAATGGTTCTAGGTAAAGTCAATATAATTGTTTTTCTTTTTAAAGGGATGGAGAAAGGAAAAGTATGAGCACGGAAAGGTATGCTTCTTTAATATTGAGAACCATTACAGCAATCACTAAACCTACTTAATGACAAATAGTATATAATTTCAAGTTTGGTTTTTTGTTTGGGTTTTTTTAACTTGGCTTCAGAATACCACGGAGGTACATCTGTCAGTTTGTGTTTTCTCTTTTATCATCATCTGAATTTCCTGGTGCCTTTAACACACTGAGGTGATTTTTAAGCCATAATATAGGGTGGAAATGTGCAAGTGCTTGCATTCTTTTGTATGTTCTAGTTTAATGTCAGTATCAGTCTAGAAGCCTGCAGTCACATGCAAAGGAAGTATAGCATAAGGTATATTTGCAAAGCAGACAATTTTATCTGGTTAACTAAAATTGATTACATTTCCTAACTTTTTACCAGTGTAACGTTCTTTAAGAAGGTGTGTGTTGTTTCCGAAAGTTCAGGTTTTAAAACTGAAATACTGCGAGAAGAATCTGTAGAGCACCGTAATAATTATTACTACCATTATGCATTGTCTCTTAGAAAAGAAGATAAGATCCTTATTCCTGGTGAGACTTCATAGTTATGGTCTGTTAAGTAAGCCCTATAAAGTTTGGTACCACCAAAGCTGAAATTTTTATGGCTGTAGTCTTGAGCTGGTTTGCAGACAAACAAATGATCTGGGTAACCTGTTGTACCTTTCTACTTTTCTTTCTTCCTTACTTTTTCCTTCTGGGAAATGGTTTTAGACCAGACATGAAAATGGGCTGCTGAGACACATGAAACTAGTTTGTGTAGAGGGAAGATTTGAGTCTGAAGTAGCATTTTCTCTATCCTGCCCCTTGCAAACTTAGAACTTTTACAGCTTCGCAGTTACTGCAGCATTGCAATGCTATAAGTCACGGCAGCATTGACAGGAAAACAAAGTTACTGCTTGGATGATGGCATGAAACCTGCTGTAAAATATCCCAGTAGTTTGGCAGCATGCAGACATTCTCAGGAGAATGTGAATCATAAGCAAATGACATTTCCATATGGTCAGGTAAATCTGAATATAACTTAAAGATGTAAAATCCAGGGTAACTGGACTTTATACTGGTAAATATAAAGCTCGGCATGAAACAATGGATCTGTGAGGCCTTTCCAAAAGTATCTGGCAAGTGTAAGATTTGCTTCTTATTTATTTTAATACCATTCCCAACTGAAAGTTGCCTTTCCTCTCATGCTATTACTAAAAAGCAGATGCATGACAAAAAAATACTGTAATTCCCTTGCTAAGAAGCCATAGCAAAGGCGGCAATGTTTTTGGCAGAAAGATAGGTTTTCCTCCTCTGAGGCTGGACATAATTACACTGGCTGGCATCTCTTTCTTAGCATCTACATTATTTATTTCTGATACTTGGCTCTGATGTTGACTTTGTAATCCTTACTTTCTTATGATGGTACATGGCACTATACAAAGGAGATTAAATACAAATAACTTGGCTGGCTCCATGACTTCAGATAGTGTTAGTATTCTCTTTTGCAAATATTTAAGCATTAATCACCTTAAATCTGATACACTTTCAAAGAGTGCATGAAAAATTGAAAGATAAATTATTTCATTATTGGATGAGCTTTGCCAACATTTTGAAACACAAATGTGCGCAATTCTTGCTGCATAATGTTTATGTTAATATTCATTTTTTCTTGAAGTAAACTTTCAAACCTGTGTAAACTTATTTCAAAGTAGTTTTGTTTAACTGTGCAAAAAATTCTTTTAGCTAGTAGCCACTGAATGAGTTTGAGGATTCTTACTGAAATAAGATCCTATCTTTATCTTAGAACATTCAGTGAAATAAACACAGCAGAAGACCAATACAGCTTGTGTCGAGAACTCTGCAAAGACCTTGCTCAAGAGCTACAGAAAAAGGGACTTAAGGTATTTATACTATCTTCTGTTTACATGCAAAAAGACATTTTGCACTTAAACCCACTAAATGCAGCATTAGTGTTAATGCTTTCAGCAGCAGCAGCATCTGTTATCACCATGCAATCTATCTTCAGAAATCTCCATCGTTTAATTTACAGGTGTTTACAATGATTTAAGCAGCATTTTGATACTCTTCAGGTGCCTATCTAATAATATGCAAGGAAAAAAAATAAACTAACAAAGTAATTTAGCACACAAACAGTTTATACTAAAAACTATGATTATAAGTAAATAATAGAGCTGATTGTCTATGAGCTGTGCTTTCGTGAATCATGTAACTAACGAATTTAAAATACTTCCCTCCAATATTCATACAGGATCCAGTCAATAGCCAGCAGTGTAGTTTAAGAAGTTTGCGTATCCCAAACTTGCTGACAAATTATTCATAACAGTCATTGGTATGAATGGTAGGAACAGTCCCTGTATTCCTTCCTCCCAGATTTCTTTTTCTTATCCTGAAAGAAAAATTCATAGTTTCTTTAGAAGTCTATGGTAAAGCAAAGAATAACACTGAAGACATAAAAGAATTGTGATTAGTCTTCTTCAGCCATAAAAGATTGTCTCTGAAGCTGACAAGTTGAAAGGGAAATCGTGAGCTAAGAAGGACAAAGGAGTAAGCTTGCAAAGGCCCCAGAACAAAAATAGTGCCATTTATTTACATTTGGATGAACACACTAAATCACAAAATGGTTTGAAAGGATTTGCCAGGGCAATAGCAATGCTAAACACAGATGCTGCGTGTGGCTCTGATAGCACTGTGCAAGAGGAAGAAATTCTCAGCAAATCCTTAACTGGATTATGTGCCTTTAGTATTTTTCCCAGCAAAGTTATGATATCTCACACTGAAAGTTTCCAAGTGAGGAAATATTTTTTCTGGTAGCCAGGATAGCAGTAGTGACTGTAGTCAGAGAATGAAATCTATTGAACAAGCACTGGTGGCAGCTGATCGGCTTGGAGCCATAGCCCAGTGACCAAGTTCAGAGAATTTGACTTTAGGAGCGGTTTAGAGGCAAGTGCAGAATCTTGCAGACAAACTCTAGTCAGCGCCCCTTGCTGTACACAGATAAGCACACAATTTTGACTATGGCTTTAAGACCCTTATATAGATCCTACATAGTAGTAGTTTCTATGAATGACATTCTTAACCTTCCTTTCTTTTTCTATTTTCTGTTTTGTTTTTTTTGGCCTAGGGTAAAACTGTTACCTTGAAGCTAAAGAATGTGAACTTTGAAGTAAAAACAAGAGCTTCAACTGTGCTGTCTTCCGTTTCTACTGAAGAGGAAATATTTGCTGTTGCTAAAGACTTGTTAGGAACAGAAATTGATAGTGTTGCTCCTCGCCCTTTACGGCTAAGACTTATGGGTAAAAAATTCAAATTCATTCTGCTTTTTTTCAGAGTTAGATCTTATAGCGTATCGAAGTAATAGACCATACTCTGAAGTAAAATCGGTATAAATGGTTTTATGCTTCCTTCATTACCCTAGTAGTTCTTGCAAAGTGAAATAAATCTGGAGTGCTGAATGCTGACTCAGGAATGTTTTACTAATTGAGGTTGTACTTTTCCTACCACTCATTGACCCTGGAACAACATACACATCAGCACAAGAATAGAATCTTAATATATAGCAGTGTTTAATTTGCTGCCTTAAAAGAGCATTTAATTTTCACTGCAGCAACAGGTAGTTTCTGTCCATAATCTCTTTCAGAAACAAATGCTTTAAATAAAATTGCTTATGGATTTGAAGATGCTGTGTTCTGGGAGGAATCTGAAAATTTCTGTCAAAAGTAAACTTGTGTTTTGGTTCTAAGACTCTTGTGTTTCAGGTGCTTATACGTTCTGCTTGAACCATTCAGTGATATATAAAACATACTTGTCTATGACATTAGAATGTGCTGAAGGAAAACGTATTTTGGTGGGGAAACTTCATGCAAGACTCTTCAGACTGAATTCTGTATAGCTTTATTGAGCTTAATGTTATGGTGCAATCAGTTAAAACTTCATAGGTATTCAAATTAACGATATAGTTGGACAAGTTCTGATAAAATTGTGTGGACATTGTGATCCATTGTTAGCATTTGCAGGTAGTATAGCTTCTCTTTGGAGATAAAATGCACTTTTATTGAGAGGATATGTACCTCAAAGGATGTTAATTATGAATTGTATCAAATTCTAGTAAAATTGGATTTATAAGTTTGGTTTTCATCCTTAGGTATACGAGTATCAGGATTTCTAAGTGAAGAAGAGAAGAAATACCAACAAAAAAGCATTACAGGATTCTTAAAATCAGGAAGAGAAATTAGTTTTCTTAGACTTCGACCAGAGAAGTCCAACCAAGAATATTTCACAAAAAATTCAGAACCATCTCCCAGAGGGAGTTTTTTTGATAAAAAGCGAGCCGCAAGGCAACTGAACAGTGAGAATCTTTCTCCAAATGAAACTGTAGGTAAGCAGCTCTTTCATGAGAAGAAATCATCAGCAAATTTTTTGGAAGAAGCAAAGAAAGTCACAGACTTTCAGAATTCTAATGTATGTAAGGCATTCACCTGCCCTGTCTGCTTTGAGGACCAAAGCAGCAATAATTTGGAAGAGTTTAACAGGCATATTGATGAGTGTCTCAATGGAATTCCTGTTAAAGATGCCATAGAAATATCCAAGAAGGACAACTCAAGAGCAAATACACTTAACTTCTGTCCACAATTTCAAAATAAAAATGATGAATGTAAAAAAAATAAAACAGATCAATTAGTGGGAACAGAGCAGTCTGCAAGTAGATCTGACAACTCTACTAGCAATAGCACAGAAAAATTCACTCAGGTAATATCTGATAAACCTGACAGTGAAAGACAGCCCAGCAATCTCAGTGATTTTGAAATGAAACTGTGTCTCTTCCCAAGAAGAATTTCACAAGACAGTGAAGACTGTTTTGAAAAGACCAAACATACAGAAGCAACTAGTTCATCCTGTTTATTTGAAGACAAAGAAGACAGTGTTTTTGTTTGTCCAGTTTGTAATTCAGAACAGAAGACCACTAATCTTGTGTCATTTAACAGTCATGTGGATGTCTGCTTAAATAAAGGTCTTATCCAGGAGCTGACAGAAAAAAAAGATTTTCCTATGCCGTCTTGTAATACAGAAAACTCAAATGGAATTGGTGAGTATGCATGTTAGGATATGTATGATTATTCAAATTATCTGCTTGCAGGATCTTAGAATCATTTTGGTTGGGAAAGATTTTTAAGATCATCAAGTCCAAGCATTATCTAACTATGCCAGGACCACTCACTGTTCCTGAGCACCATATCTAGATGGCTCTTAAACACATATAAAGGTGGTGATTCCTTTTCACTTGAGCTCATTTCCTCTCATCCTGTTGCTTGTTACTTGGGAGAAGAGGCCAACACTCTCAGGTCCTTTTCTGCCAGGCAGCTCTCCAGCCACTCCTCCCCAAGCCTGTAGCGCTGCCTGGGGTTGTTGTGGTCCAAGGGCAGGACCCAGCACTTGGCCTTGTTGAACCTCATACAACTGGCCTCGGCCCATTGATCCAGCCTGTCCAGATGCCTCTGCAGAGCCCTCCTGCCCTCAAGCAGATCAACACTCCACCTAACTTGGTGTTGTCTGCAAACTTACTGAGAGTGCTCTCAATCTCCTCATCAAGATCATTGGTAAAGATATTTACCAGAACTGGTCCCAGTCCTGAGCCCTGGGGAACACCACTTGTGACCAGCTGCCAGTTGGCTTTAACTCCATTCACCACAAGTGGTGAATCCCATTAACCATCCAGCCAGTGTTTGATCCGGAAGAATGTGCGCTGGTGCTGGCCTTTAGCAGCCAATTTTTGTATGAGAAGGCTGTGGGGAACCATACTGAAGACTTTACTGAAGTCCAGGTAAGCAACATCCACAGCCTTTCTCTCATCTACCAAGCGAGTCACCTTGTCATAGAAGAAGATCAAGTTCATTAGGCAGGACCTGCCCTTCAGGAACCCACGATGACTGGGCCTCATCACCTGCTTGTCCTGTAAATGGTGTGTAATGGCACTTAAGACAATTGTTCCATAATCTTCCCTGACACCAACGTCAGACTGTCAGGTCTGTAGTTCCCTGGGTCCTCCTTCTTGTAGGTGGATGTCACATTTGCTAATCTGCAGTCAGTTGGGACCTCCCCATTTAGCCAGGACTGCTGATAAATTATGAAGAGTGTCTTGGTGAGCCAACTCCTTCATGCTCTTGGGTGTAACCCATATGATGCCACTTCCTCTTGGATTATGGAGGTCCCATTCTGTTCCCCCCCCATCTTTCAGCTCAAGGGGCTGGGTACCCAGTAAATGACTAGTCCTGCTATTGGAGACTGAGGCAAAGGTGTTAAGTACCTCAGCCTTTTCCTCATCCTTAGTCACTGTATTTCCCCCCTGCATCCAATAGGAGGCGAAGTTTCTCCCTAGTCCTCCTTTTGTTGTTAACATTTAAAGAAGCATTTTTAACTGTCTTCTATGGTAATAGCCAGACTGAGTTCCAATTGGGCTTTGGCTCTTGTAATTTTCTCCCTGCATAGCTTCACTATGTCTTTGTAGTCCTCCTCAGTGGTACCTCTTCCAAAGGCCATAGACTCTCCTTTTGGTCCTGAGTTCCAGCCAAAGGTCTCTGTTCAGCCAGGCTAGTCTTTTTCGCTGCTGGCCCTTCTTTCAGGACGTGGGAATGGCCTGTTCCTGTGTCTTCCTTCTGGAAGAGTGTCCAGCCTTCCACATCTCCTTTGTCCTTCAGGACTGAGTCCTAAGGGATTCTGCCAATCAGTCTCTTGAACAGGCCAAAGTCTGCCCTACAGATGTTGCTAAACCCCTTTCTCACTTCTCTGAGATTCAAAAACTCTACTGTTTCACAATCACTATGCTCAAGACAGCCTCCAGGCTCCTCCTGTCTCCTGTAAGTCCTTCCCTGCTAAGAAGCAGCAGGTCTAGGAGGGCACCTTTTCTAGGTGGCTCCTTCACCAGCTTGTGTGAGGAAATTATCTTCACACACTTCAAGAACCTCTAGGACTGTTCCCTCTCTCTGCTGTATTGTATTCGCAGCACACATCTGGGAAGTTGAACTTCTGCACGAGAACAAGAGATAGCGACTGTGAAACCTCTCCAAACTGCTCACAGGGTATTTCATCAGCCTCATCAACCTGACTGGGCAGTCTGTAACAAACTGCCACTGTGATACCTGCCTTGTTGGCCTTCTCCTTGAGTGTTACCCATAGACACTCAACCTCTTCATCACTAAGTATTAGATGTTCATATCTCTCCCAGTCATAGAGGGCCACCCCACCACCTCTCCTTCCTCACCTACCCCTTCTGAAAATCTGGTAACAATTAACTGCAGCATTCAGGTTGTGTGAGATGTCCCACCTTGTTTCCATCATGGCCACTATATCATAGTTCTCTCGCTGCACAGTGTCATTCTGCTTGTTCCCCTTGCTGCGTGCATTGGTATAGATCCACTTCAGCTAGGCTAATGGTTGTGCTGCCTTTTTGGAGGGAGAATCCATAACTCCCACCAGACCATTCCTAGACACTCTCATTGTTATGAGCCTATCAGCTCTTATGTCTTTGCTGCTACATGGATCACTTAGCATACTGTGTCCAGTTTTGGGCTCCCCACTTCAAGAGAGACAGGGACCTACTGGAGAGAGTCCAACGGAGAGCTATGAGGGGAATCAAGGGACTTGAACGTCTCTCCTGTGAAGAGAGACTGAGAGAACTGGGGCTGTTTAGCCTTGAAAGGAGATGGCTGAGAGGGGATCTTATTAACATATGCAAATATCTGAGAGGTGGGTGTCAAGAGGAGGGGGGCAATCTCTTCTCAGTGGTGCCCAGCAACAGAACAAGAGATAATGAGTTTATGTTGGAACACAGGAAGTTCCACCTCAACATGAGGAGAAACTTCTTTACTGTGAGGGTGACAGAGCACTGGCACAGGCTGCCCAGAGAGGTTGTGAAGTCTCCTTCTCTAGAGACATTCAAAACCCGCCTCATGTGTTCCTATGTGCTGCCCTAGGGTATCCTGCTCTGGCAGGGGAGCTGGACTAGATGATCTCTGGAGGTCCCTTCCAACCCCTGACATTCTGTGATTTTATGATCTTGCACTGCCACTGAGATGGCTGACCAGGACCTTACTTACCTCACTGTCCCAGAGGTACCAGCTTGCTGCTCCCATGCTCCTCTCTAGCAAGCACAGTTTTATCTCCATCCTCCTTTGAGTCTAGTTTAAAGACTTTTCAGTGAGCTCCACTGGCTGCTGCACCAGGATCCTGTTTCTGCCTTTGAGACAGGCATTCCCCATCTGATGACAGCAGGCCTGGTGTCTTGTAAAGCAGCCAGTGGTCAAAGAATCCAAAGTCCTGCCAATAAAACAAGTTGCAGAGCCAGGCATTGATCAGTTAATCGAGTAATAGTATACTTTGAACTTTTCAGGGCTTCAGTATTCTTGCAACAAGTCCGTTTGACTAAGGCCTGTGTAAGAGTGAACATTTTTATTTAAAAAATAAAAAGTAATTTTTCATGAGAAACCAGAATTGTGAATGTGATGGTAGTTAACACAATGCATTCTCTTTTGCCACAATGGTGTTGTAGGACTTACTCCTCATTTCTGTAAACTGTGTGTTTGCTGTCCCCAACTATGTTCAGAAAGGTATTTGAGTGAAAATCAATCCAAACATCTTTAACCTAGATTCTTTAGAGATTCAGTTGACAGAAAAGTTCCATCATGTTGTGTGCTGATAAAAAACAAGTTATTGAACTAAAGCATAGAGGTAGGAACTTGCAGGCTTGGTTTATGACAGTTCAAATATATCACATAACTGCAACTATAACATCCCACACCAGTAGCTTGTTTACTGAAGTAGTTTCTTTTTTGATGAAGAGTTAATCTTTGTACGGATTAGAGGACATGTGCAAGTAGTCAACTGTCTTTCCTAAAAGTACCTCATCCCTAATGTAACTTCAGAACTTTATAAGAGGAAATTAAAATAGTAGAATCATAGAATGGCCTAGGCTGGAAGGGACCTTAGAGATCATCTAATCCAAACTAGTGTGGTTGAATTATCAGAGCATAATTAAGACTGACAGTATATATCTTTTACAAAGAAAATTTTACGAGCCCTTTTGTTGTTACATGAGCAAACAGACCTTGTTTTAAATTAAAACCTTGCTGATGGCAAAGATTATTTTCCCCCCTGCAGGATAAAAAAACCTAAAAATAGAGTTTTCAATGACTGCCTTGAAAATAAACTACATTATGCTGAAATATTTCTGAAAACTTTAACGAAGTTCACATTAATGCCTTAGAATTCAATAAAATAAAGGCTTTTTGGTTTTCTCCTTTAAAAATGTTAATACTCAAAGTGTAGATAATAAAAATTTTATCTGCTCCTTGAGACACATTGTATTTGGTTATATTAAAAAGGAAAGAAAAGCTTTACCCAAAAACTGTTCTTTGAAAGTTCTGCCATGTGTTCTGTTTCTGAAGCATTCTTTCTGTGTTGAGGTAATTAATTTTTGTTGTTTCCAATTACTTTTCAGGAGGTTTAAGCAGAGGACAGCAATGCACAAATCCATCACAAGGAACAAAAAGGTAAAGTGATTTTTTAAAATTTGAGTATACAGTTAATTTTAAATAATACAGTTTAGGGAAATATTCAGTGTTTTAGAAGTTGTGTAGGTATGCATTGTACATTTTAAACTCTTACTGTTTGTGTTTTTTTTTTTTAACTTTAGATCTGGACTAGCAACTTCACAGTCAGTATCAAAAAAGGCCAAGTCAAGCAATCCCAAGCATACAATTGAAATGTTTTTTAAATGACTGTGTAGCAACGTATTATATATGAAGTATTTCATAATATTTTAAAACTGCACATTAATTTAACATCGGTGATAGCCTGGATTCAGGTGCCTGTCACTTTGGAGTCACTGCAAGTGTAAAAAAAGTGACATTTGAGGTGGAAGAGGAGGTACAGTTGAGTAAATTTTTGGGGATTTTTGAGAATAATACTTTTTTTTTCCCAGTTGTTTCTGAGAATCAAAATTCACTAGCACTTTGACTTTCTTTATATTGAGCATGTGGAACTTTGCTGGAGTCATGAGCAGCCTTATGAATTCTCTCTGCTGTTCAACAAATAGAACAGGGAGATTAGAGCTGCTGTTGAGAAAGCCTGAGGGCTGTAGGAATCATTGGGTGGGGTGCCACACTGCTTAATGAAGGCCCTCTTTCCACACCTGACCTGCTGTCTTCTCAGTTAGTTTTGTTGGCCATAGTAGCCATGGAAGCACAGGCTGACACTGCCTTTGACAATTCCACACCTCGTTTAATTGTGGCATTAGCTCTAGTGTGGTAACAAAAAAGAGCTGAGATTGCTCAGTTGCTTCTTCTGTCTTCTCAGTGCACACAGTCTCACAGTTTCAAAGGAAAAAAGCAAAAATTTAGAGCACAGTCAAGCTTTCATTCTTGTCCCTGCAAATTACTTCACTAAGAGGTAATGTACCAGCCCTGAATGACTTAATGTGATGAGATGCAGGATGATTTCATCAGTTTAAAAAACGTTAATAAACCTGTTGACGAAAGAAGGATTCCACCAGGTTAGTCAGACAAATGTTATTTGATCCTTGACCTTTCAAAGCGACCGTGAACTTCAATTTTCTTTGCAATTGTGAAATTGTTACTGGTCAGTGGTACTAAATTTACTCTAATTTACTTTAAAAGGTCTCTAATTTACTCTGAAAGGTCTCACTGTGCAATAATAATATGACTGGTGTGCAAATACGCAAGCTGCTGAAAAAAATTGTAACCTATCTTTTTAAAAAAATTATTTCATATTTCTGAATGAATATTTTATGAGTGTGTATGTGAAAGGAAGTTGTGAAGTGCAAATATTTAAAATACTCTGCTTGGATTTTTTTTTGCTTAAATGCAGACTTTTTATTATAATTATAATATTTTTCAAGCAAATAATTTATGATGACAGCATATTTTTTATACATTATAGAAATAATGTCAAACCATATATGAAATATAAACTGCTTTTTAATTGAAAAATCTTTAAAAGAAGTGGCTACTATAGAAGCATCTGGTTTATTCTTTAACTGTATTGGAAGTTCTTGGGGTTTGCTTGGTTTTGAAACAAAGAGCTGTGGACCTGGTGTGTTTTAGACATCCAGAATGAACTTGCTGGAATGATTTCACCATCTGTACGTGCTCATGTTTGTTTGCCAGATGTCACTGTACCCACAGCTCTGTCATTTCCCTTCATGTCGGTGCTCCCCTCTGCTCTGGAGGAAATCAGCTGGACTAGTTCAGACTGTGTAAGCTGGCTCAGTTGGTTTTTTCTAAATCAGGCCAGTGAGAGTTCAACATGAGCTGTTCTGTTGGCAGAGGTGGGAGCTAGAAACCTTTGGTTGCGAAGGTGAACACCTTGCCCTTTATTAGCTTGTATCTGTCTGATTCAATAAAGCATAGAATCTATTACCTTGTCATTGTGTGTATTTTTTTAAATAGCATATTTTTACACATGTAAAAACTAAACTACTGTAAGTGCTTGAACAAGTGAAGTTAGGTTGGCTTAGGCTTGGAAGTTGCCTTACCGTCTGTTTAAAAAAACCCGAACAATTACCTGAGTATCATGAACTAAGTTGTGAAGCATGTTAGAGTTAATGTGGAAATATAACTCACGGTATGATTCTAAAGTCGGAAATGTCTTCTGAGATGTGTGTGAATATATATCTTTTAGAAGGGTGATTCTCTATCTTTATAGAAGTCTCCAGTGAGATTGTTTTAATGTTTTTTCTACAAATTATTTTCTACAGTGCAGAAGAGAAGCGGGTTTTTTTTGTTCTATTCCTTGTAATTTCTTATACCTTATTTATTAATGCTTTTATCTGAGACAGCCTTCAGTACACAGTCAAGTCCTGTCATAAATTTCTGTGGTAAAATTTTTTGTCTCTGTTCCTATGGAAAAGACTGTGCAAGCAATGTTTTTGTTCTGCATTTTTCGCAGTGTAAGTGTTATATAATTCACCTTAACTTAAAATCTGTTTTCATTAGCATCTGGAAATCTCTTTGTAGCTGTGTTTAACTTACGTATTAATTATTTCCTGTGTATGAGGCCTTCAACGCTTACTACATCTACAACTTTGAAGTATGTGAACGATATAGGTTGACAGTGGATAAGAATTTTTGTGTAGCCTAAGTATGTCCCCGTGTGTTGCCTGATCTAGTTGACAGGTGGCGTCCCTGGCGGCAGGGAGGCTGGATTAAAATGATCTCTAAGGTCCCTTCCAGCCTAGGCCATTCTATGACTTCTGTGATTTCTGTGTCTCTTGATTAAGGTAGATAGCATTTTCTCACTGAGTCTGTTTACTGCTTTCCACAGTAATATCTTCATTAATTTTGAGTTTTGAATGTCTTACTGTGGCTGGATATCATGGTGACTAGTGTTGTTTATTAGTTATCTGGCCTGGGTCTATAAACTTTCCTGTTGGGAATATATAAATACTTCGGCTTATGCTGTGTTTTCTCCCAGCTGCTGAAATTCCACTTCAAAATGTCAGGAACAGGCAGGAATATCGTCAGCACAGAATTTGGTCTTGAATTGCTCTGCCTGAGAGTCACTGTAAAGTGCTGCAGTTCAACAGGCTAGTTCAAGCACCACAGGATTCAGAATGCTGCAGTGTTTCATATTTTCAATAAGTACACTGTTTAATAAAAATTAAAAGTTTAATATTTCCTACCTTGACTTTATCTTAAAATCTCACCTTATTTTACAGCACGTAATTTTTGCTTGCTTCTCTTTCTTTATGCACTATTTAACATGCTTCCATCCTACCTTAGTTTTTTTCTTTATACTTGTTCTGTTTGTTTATGTATTTATTGCTACTGTTATTTTAAATATTTAAAAAATACTCAGAGTTCCTAGCAGATAGAGGGCTCTGTGAAGGCAAGTGAGGAAGATGTTCCAGTACTCCCTTGCTCTGCACTTTGTTCTGGATTATGCATCTCAGTTAATTTCTTGACCAGTCTTTTCTGCAGGTTGCTGGGGCCATTTGAAAGAGTCAGGTCTGTGGGAAGTGATTAGAGAATGTGGTAAACTTGCTCTTTTCAAAGTTTGAGCACATGAAGTATAATTGTACTGGAAAAGTTCATTAAGAGAACAAGGATACACTAAAATAGTATTGTATGGGAGTACTTAGAACTGGAAAGTAACAGCTGCTGTTTTCAGACTGTATGTAAAGTTATGATCTTTGTTTAAAGATGCACACTGTAACTCATGCTCTGTATGAGGCTGCAAATCTTTTCCTCCTTTGGTGCCAGCTCTGTAGGCAAACCTAATAGTTCCACACTTGTCTGTTGTCTGTTAATTCAAGAAGGAGCATTAATGCTGCAAACAGTAGGTCTGTATTACTATCCCAGTCACCATACAGAAATGAAACGCTTTTAAGTTTCACTGGAACATTTGACTCACAGGAAGCAAGTGAAAATGAAACCTCTGTGATTCAGCTGTGTCTAAATCAGCTACTTGTTCTTCTCACTCTGGCTTTATGTTCACATGGTTTTTCAGCTGAGTAACATTCATCTACTGAAAGTACAGTTCATGAAACTGTTTATATCAGACCAAGATGTGTCAAGTGTAAAGATTCTTACATATCACACCCTGGCTGTATCAAAAATACATGCATAAAGGAGAAAAGAACTGTGAAGTATCTTCATGTATGCTAAGTAGAATCTAAGTGAATAATTTGGTATCCAGATTTCCTCAACTTGCAAACTATTTTGAGTCTTTCAGATAAATTGTGCCATGGATATGTACAGTGTTAAAAATCTTGGAAGTCAAGATAACCGTGCAATTAAATTACAAAGAAAAAAATTATAGTGAAGCAATTTAAATGTGTGTTTAGTTGTGTGAGGCTGAACACTGGCAGTTCTGCATACTTGGAGCTGCTTTTCCAGTATTTCTTTTGAAATGCTAGCAACGCCAATGGCTGGTTTTGAAGTAAAATTTAGCATACTAACTTCAAACAATTTTTATGCCTTATCTCAGAAAATCGTCTACATGAAATGAAATATAAATGCTGGTTTAAGTAGACCAAAGTAACAGTGGACCTCAAGGTAAATTGAGAAATAGGTAAATTAAATGGATGTCACTATGTCAGTTTACAAAACCTGAGCCTTTGGAGATGTGTGCATTGATTTTGACTGTGCTTTGACAAAAGGAAATAAGTATTTTATGCCTGAAAATAGAGAGTCTTGTTATTGGATCACTACTGCTACTGCCTGTATTTCTGGCCAAATTTATGGCAGAAGCATCTCTCTGTTTCACATCTGAAGGATGTCTCAAGCTTGCAGGGGCAGTCACTCCCTCCAGTCCAGTGAACACTGGCTGACAGTGGTGAGAATAACTCCCGAGGTGAATTTCTCCCCGAGATGGCCTTCAGCCTGCAGAGAGCTCTGTGACTACCCCACAATTAATAACAAAGCCACCCGCCTCTGGGGGTCCCACGCAAGCCATGGTGCCTCTGTGCGTCTGCACTTGTGATAACTTGGGAAGCACTTCAGAATCAAACAGGACTGCTTTTTTTTTGTGCTGTGTGTGCACTTGAAGGTGCAAATTGCTCTTTGCATGCGCTAGCCGCTAGGAAAGACCTGAGGGCTGTTGTGCAGGGATGACCTCACTTGGTGCCTAGCTCGCGTCAAATCCTGTATGTTTAGTTCCTGGTTTCTTTTAAAACAACTTCCTCGGGTTGGTCCGCACCTCTCCGTCTTTGGACGATGTGGCCAGGTGCTGGGGTGCTGCTGCGGGCTTGCCTGCAGGG